GATTGAATGTTATGTAAGCTGTGGACCTTACTTGTAGATGTTTAGGAGATTAAATGTTATGTAGGCTGTGGATCTTACTTGTAGATGTTTAGAAGATTGATTGTTATGTAAGCTCTGGATCTTACTTGTAGATGTTAGAAGATTGAATGTTTTGTAGGCTGTGGATCTTACTTTTAGATGTTAGAAGATTGATTGTTATGTAAGCTGTGGATCTTACTTGTAGATGTAAGAAGATTGAATGTTATGTAAGCTGTGGACCTTACTTGTAGATGTTTAGAAGATTAAATGTTATGTAGGCTGTGGATCTTACTTGTAGATGTTAAAAGATTGAATGTTATGTAAGCTGTGGATCTTACTTGTAGATGTTTAAGTGGATCTTACTTTTAGATGTTAGAAGATTGATTGTTATGTAAGCTGTGGGTCTTACTTGTAGATGTAAGAAGATTGAATTTTATGTAAGCTGTGGACCTTACTTGTAGATGTGAGAAGATTGATTGTTATGTAAGCTGTGGAGCTTACATGTAGATGTTTAAGAGATTGAATGTTTTGTAGGCTGTGGATCTACAAGTAAGATCCACAGCTTACTTGCAGATGTTAAAAGATTAAATGTTATGTAAGCTGTGGATCTTACTTGTTGATGTTAGAAGATTGAATGTTATGTAAGCTGTGGATCTTACTTGCAGATGTTGAAGAGATTGAATGTTATGTAGGCTGTGGATCTTACTTGTAGATGTTAAAAGATTAAATGTTATGTAAGCTGTGGATCTTACTTGCAGATGTTTAAGAGATTGAATGTTATGTAAGCTATGGATCTTGCTTGTAGATGTTTAGAAGATTGATAGTTATGTAAGCTGTGGATCTTACTTGTAGATGTTTAGGAGATTGAATGTTATGTAAGCTGTGGATCTGACTTGCAGATGTTAAAAGATTTAATGTTATGTAAGCTGTGGATCTTACTTGTAGATGTTTACGAGATTGAATGTTATGTAAGCTATGGATCTTGCTTGTAGATGTTTAGAAGATTGATAGTTATGTAAGCTGTGGATCTTACTTGTAGGTGTTTAAGAGATTGGATGTTATGTAAGCTGTGGATCTTACTCGTAGATGTTTAGGAGATTGAATGTTATGGAGGCTGTGGATCTTACTTGCAGATGTTTAAGAGATTGAATGTTATGTAAGCTGTGGATCTTACTTGCAGATGTTTAGGAGATTAAATGTTATGTAAGCTGTGGATCTTACTTGTAGATGTTTAGGAGATTGAATGTTATGTAAGCTGTGAAGTTTAAATACATGTATTAAGTCAGTAATGTATTATAAGGGTTTATTTGACTGTTCCAGCTGCGGCCTTAGGAAACTGGCTGTCTGACTTGGCTGGAGTGGGGTAGGTTTTAACGTCTCCAACAATGTTTCCATCAATCGTGCGAATGATCCATTATTTATTAGATCACCTGGTCCAAAGGGCCAAGGTGAGCTTATGCCATACCGTTCTGTCCGTTGTCTGTCCGTAAATTTGACTGGAAGCATCTTTAGGTGGTGGGGATTCAAAATTGTACAAATGGTGGGGCTGAACCCCCAGGGGGCTGAAGGCGGAGCCAAAAGGGGGCAATTTGGCTTTATTGCTTTAAGCGACTTCTTCTCTGGATCCAAGAAGTGGATATCAACCATATTTGACTGGAAGCATCCCAAGGTGGTGGGGATTCAAAATTGTACAAATGGTGGGGCTGAACCCTCAGGGGGCTGAGGGGCGGGGCAAAAAGGGGTCAATTTGGCTATACTGCTTTAAGCGACTTCTCTGGAACTAAGAGATGGATATAAACCATATTTGACTTTAAGCATCCCTAGGTGTTGGAAATTCAAAATTGTACAAATGGTTGAGCTGACCCCCCAGGGGGCTTAGGGTCGGTGCCAAAAGTGGGCAATTTGGCTATACTGCTACAAACGACTGCTTCTGTAGAACTGTACACTGGATATCAATCATATTTGATCAAAAGCATTTATGGGAAGCAGAAATTCAAAATTGTACAAATGGTGTGGCTGACCCCCCAGGGGACTGAGAACGGGGCAAAAAGGGTTATTTGGCTATATTGCTTTAAGCTACCTCTTCTCTAGAACTAAGCGATGGATACTAACCATATTTGGTCGGAAGCCTTCATGGGAGGCAGGGATTCAAGATTGTACAAATGGTTGGGCTGACCCCCAGGGAGCTGAGGTTGGGGCCAAAAGGGGGCAATTTGGCTATATTGCTATAAACGACTTCTTCTGTAGAACTATGCCTTGGATATTGATCATATTTGGTCGGAAGCATTCATGGGAGGCAGGGATTCAAAATTGTACAAATGGTAGGGCTGACCCCCTGGGATAAGGGGTGGGGCCAAAAAAAGTGTATTACTTGGAAATGGTTGTGATCCCCACCATATAACCATGGTATACAATTGCTGAGTATAAAGAGAAGAATGCACATTTGTTTCCAGGATGGCTCTAGGGTCTGGCCCCACCCTTGGAGACATAGTCCCTGGGCCATAACTTTAAAACTGTTGAGATCCCCATCCCAAAACTATATATACAAATGCTGGGCATAAAGAGATGAATGCAGTCATGATATCAGAATAGACCCTGGGGTCAGACCGAACCCCAAGTGACCTAGTTTCTTAGTTAAAGCTTGGAAACAGTTGAGAGGTCCACCCTATAACCGTATATACAATTGCTGAGTATAAAGAGATGATTGCACATATGCTTCCAGGATGGCCTTTGGGACTGCCCCACCCTTGGAGACTTAATCCCTGGGTCATAACTTCGAAATGGTTAAGATCCCCACCCCAAAACTATATATATAATTTTTGGGCATAAAGAGACAAATGCAGTCACAATATTAGAATTGATCCTGGGGTCTGGCCACAACCCTAGGGACCTAGTTTCTGAGTCAAAGCATGGAAACAGTTGAGATCCCCACCCCATAACCATACATGGAATTGCACTGGTGGACCCTTACCGTGTATTTTTTTCATTTTTTCGTTTAATTTTCAAAAATCGTTTAGTTGTTCTCTTTTTGTGTGTATTTTTTGGATTATAGTTTATATTTGACGAGTCACCGTTTATTGTTTAAACCGACGTTTATTCTTCGCAGACTTGTGTTTAGTTTTGAGTATAACAGTTTGTTTT